AATGATATACTTACCAAATATTTTTATCAAATTTTTCATCTCAAATGACGTGGCACAATCTCCATCACAGATAAATGAGTCTCATTAATATTAAATGATAAAAACCGTGCCTCGTCATTTGGGATTAGAAATTTGATAAGAATATTTGGTAAGTATCGGATTGCTCGGGTTAACAATGATATACTTCACCCTTTCTGGTACAATTGTCCTTTCTCTTCGCATAGGAAATGTATATGGCAAGTAATTCAAAGAAGATTCTGTCCCATCAAATGTTCAAAGAAGAATACTCATGGTATTGGAATAATCAACATTATCTCTGGAACTTTTTCTCTATACAAATTCCTAGAAAGAGAGAAATCAACCAAGGTAGTTAACTAACATTGACAGAGGGACCAAGTACATTCCCTTCTTCTTTAGGTCTACAGAATCTTTAGTACTTTTCCCTTCAAAATTCATTTCATTTCTTTCATCCGCCTGCATTTCTGGAAAGTTACCACAGCCACCCACTTTTCTCTACAAAATCAGCAAAAAGTCAAAAAAAAAAAAATGATATTTTTAGTTATTATATTAAAATCATCTAATACCAAACTTTTATTAAATGACCATTATATTTAAAAGTTTACCCTATTAGAGATAATGTAACACACGTCCCGTCAATCATGGGTTAGATTTTACGCCTAACACTAGTAAACTTTTTAATTATGTATTATAGAGACAAAGTAATATTCAAACGTAGAATCTCCACATTAAATCACTCAATAATTTAAGCACTTTGGTAAAGTGCAACATAACTAGGATAAGTCAAAAACTTTTTTTTCGTAAGGTAATTATATAATTCAACAACCTTTGGAAGGTAATTATAATTCAACAACTTCTTCCCGCAAAGATATACACAAAAAAGATGGTCATGCTCCCACCCAAAAACTCTCAATATTGTCATCTTTACTTGTGTGATTAATTGATATCCTTGGGCTTTAAATTACTAAGATGTTGACAAAGATTTTCTTCAAAACAACTTAACACATAGATGAAGATAAAACAATATATTTCAACACAATCTATGATGAAAGCTGTTTTTTTTGTGTGTGT